CCCCCCCCCCCCCTCTCGAGATAGGTCTGGGCCTCGACGCTATTATACCCACTTGACCCTGTGCATAGGCGGGGCTCGATCCTTTTTGCTCAGCGTACATGGTGGTCACCATCATCTTCTTGAACCCCTCGTCAAACAAAAGAGAGAGTGGGGGGCCACGCGGGCGGAGCACCTCCAAGGTGCCTCAATCACTCCACAAGGCGACACTGTGTACAAACAGGGATACATTGTCGCCACGACTCTGGGTACTGTAAATCACAAGTGCTTACAGCGTATACAGCCGCATTACAGGCGTCGCGCCAAAGCGCACAGACCAGATGCAGGCACGACGAGTTTGGATCGGTGCACACACGAGGTTGAGGAGGTTGTATTGGTGTGTGGGCTTCACGCGCGCAAGAGTGATGTGCACCCTTTGCCATACGCACCCACTTCATCAATCCCTTCGATGCGGCGTCGAGGGTGTGGTGGAGAGCTTCATTTGTTGGTTAGCCCCACCAATCGCATCCTGATGAAGCTCGGTCAGTCGGTGGGCGTCTCCGTGGCCTTTATTAGCGCAGCCGTACGAGCGAGCCCCCCTTGGCATCCCGCTTCCACTATCCACGATCTTCTCTCTCCGCATGCGCTGCAGTATGAGGGCTCAACTCACGCTCAACATGGCGAAGCTGCTGGCTTTGCTGCTGGTGATCACGCCGATCTTCTTGGCCCTCGAGACGAACGCCACACAAGCTGGAATGCCTCACCTGCATCCACGAATGGTCAAGTGAGTACATCCCGCTCTGCTGGTGGTCTGATAGCTTTGTGGCAAGTTACTGACGTAATAACGATGGCTATCATGGGTACGGACAGACACCGCAAGATGGAGGCGAGGAGCCTCATGTCGTGGCTGACAAAGATCTCGAGCAAGGCTTCCGACTGGATGTGGGGAAGCGTTCCCAACCCGGTCAAGGACAGCAGCCGCATCCCCAAGCCGGTGCCCGGAGGACCGGACGTCATGCCAAAGATGCCCTACCCCTATGCCACGGGCATGATCCCTCGTCTGGCCAGCGAGACCATGGCTGGCAACGGTCTGCCCGGTGGCTGGATGTGCGTGCACGTCAGCCCTCCTGCCGAGAAGCACGCTGAAGCTGCCGATCAGGGTGCTGGCGCTGGCGGTGCTGGTGTTGCTGGCGCCGGCGCTGGTGCTGGTGTAGGTGCTGGTGTAGGTGCTGGTGTAGGTGCTGGTGTAGGTGCTGGTGGCGCTGGCGCAGGTGCGGGTGCAGATTACGGAGGTGCTGGCGCCGGCTCCGGCGCTGGTGCAAGCTCGGGTGCTGTCTACGGAGGTGCAGGTGCTGGCGCGGGTGCCGGCCCTGTCTACGGAGGTGCTGGTGCTGGTACCGGCCCTGTCTATGGAGGTGCTGGTGCTGGTGCAGGTCCTGTCTACGGAGGCGCTGGCGCTGGTGCTGGTAACGGTCCTGTCTATGGAGGTGCAGGTGCTGGCGCTGGTGCTGAAGCTGGTGCCGGTCCTGTCTATGGAGGTGCTGGTGCGGGTGCCAGCGCTGGTGCAGGTGCCGGCCCTGTCTACGGAGGCGCTGGCGCTGGTGCTGGTGCAGGTCCTGTCTACGGAGGCGCTGGCGCTGGTGCAGGTGCCGGCCCTGTCTACGGAGGTGCTGGCGCTGGCGCAGGCGCAGGTGCTGGTGCAGGCGCGGGTGCCGGCGCTGGTGCTGGTGCTGGCGCTGGAGGTGTTCCTCCTGGCTACATCCAGTACAACGGCCAGCTGATGACGATAGATCAGTACCAGCAAGTCATCAATGGTGCCGGTGCTGGTGCCGGTGCTGGTGCCGGTGCTGGTGCCGGTGGTCTCCAGCGTCGCGACCTGTACTCGTACGACGTGGGCAGCCTTCTTATCGACAACATGCTTCACAAGCGCCAAGACGCCGCCGAGCCGGCCAAGGCGCCAGCCAAGGTGCTCATGTGCATCAATGGCGATCCCGACGTGCCTGCGATCAAGTTCAACACGATGACTGGGCTTCGCATCCGCGACGCCTCGGCGCAGCAGGACGGCGTGGTGCAGGTGACGAACCTGCCCAACTACCAGACGCCCTGGATGCCCTTCCTCCCCACCGCCGACATGTGGGCCGAACAGCAAACACTCATGATCGAACAGGAAAAGATCATCGAGACCAACATGACCACCACCCCTCCTCCTTCGTCCTAGATCCTAAGGGTCGGATGCGTCCCTCACGTCTTCTCTTCTTCCTGCACACGCGATGCCACCATGGCTCCATTCATGTTTTGTGGGTGCCTTTTCTTCTGTTCGTTTCCACTTGCTTCGCCCGTAATGACACAGCCTCATACTTGATCGATGCAGAACCCGACTTGATTCCGCGACCTCTAGGGTGTCCAGCCGTCTGTGATGCTCGAGTCGGCTTGAGCCGTACACTGAGCGGCTAAATGACCGATCTCGTGTTAGGCGAAGCACCGGCCACGAGGGCATCGATCGAAGGGATGATGGAAGCTGGAGGTGCTACTTCAGGTGATGCATCAGGACAGGCGCCTGGCGTACACCAGCTTGCATTCTGCACCGCCAACATTGAGGTAGTCGGGAAGCGAGTGGAATGAATATGGGTCGACGCCACCATCCTCGCCAGGGGATAGAGAGGCCAGCGCCACCATGTTGTTTGTGTCTTCGGGCGGTGTTGGATCGTTGGCGTAAGATTTCTGGGCTACCCAGATATCGTGCACTCGAACGTGAGGTTGAAGAAGGCTTGCGATATTGGCTGCTGTTTCAAACCATGCAGTACGCAGGGGCAGGGGAATACCGAGCACTTCGATGACCAGGGAAGTTCTCGGGAGGTCAGGACCCACAAAGAGGCGTTGAAGTTGCGAGCCGTTGAAGACCAGCTGAACCGCAGCAACGGTGTCGAGATTCTCAGGCGAGACAGTGACTTCGACAACGCGGCCTCTGCCAACCCCGCGCGGGAAATTGACCATGCAAGACGTGTTGACGGAGTTGTTCGAGGCAAGAAAGCGTCGGACTTGCAGGCGGATCGAACCGCGCGCAATATCTTCTTCACGATTCAGGCTGAATCGTCCAGTGAACCGCCACCGAACAGTGCAGGATGGAAGCTCGGCTCGATCACTGTTCGGGAGAGGAAGTTCCTCGTAGGCGACAAGAGGAGATGGGAGCATATTGGACGTTGTCGGTCGGATGTCAGACCAGAGGTGGCGGCCAGTGTAGATAGGCGGAATCTGATCCTTGAAGGGCTTATCGGCCTTGGAATGAATTGAACGCATTCCAGCAGCTGCGTTGGCAGTGGTGGCAAGGCTGACGGCTCGGTATCGGTAGGGAGTCACGGGGAATGCCGGGCTAAATGAAGCTGGCTGGAAGCGGTTGGGAGATACAAGCTAGAGTCGGATGGAGTTGGCGAGTGGTAGCTCCAAGATGGGGCGAGCTGGAAAACTTCCAGAGTGTCATGGGTCAAAGCCGGCAAAGAGTCGGTCAAGAGGGACTTGAGAGAGAGGGCACGGATCGCTGCTTTCGTCGGGACGCGGCCATTACCAGCGTGTGGTGCGCACAGGCTGCAAAGCTGAGAAAAGTCATTGTAGTGATCGTCCTACCCAAGACGCCGGATGATACCGGCAACGGTGTCATTATGGCATAGTTGGAAGGAGGAGGTGGGGGTGGCTTTTGACAGAGACGGGGTCTGAGGCTCCCCAACGGCGCTCGAGATGCGCTTGGATGCCCAAGTCTGACATGCGCTATCTGACGAGTGGCAGAAACCATCTTGTCTTGGCTCGATGTCAAAAAAAGGACGAAAAAAAATGAAGTCAAAGCCGATGCTTCGAAGTTGTGCTTCAACCCGGAATCGAACCGGGGGCTCACCCGTGTGAAGGGCGTGATTTAACCGTTAATCGATTGAAGCGCTTGTTGTACTGCTATGCTTTCTCGACCGAGCTGCGCGTATATGAATGGCTTTTTCCTCTGCGCAATTCGCTGCGACCACGCTTCGCAACGCTCTAACTCTGCTTGCACCTCTCCAAAGGCAAGAGCATCTCGGCGCTCATTCAGAACCTGAGTCGACGAGGAGACTTGTTGAGGCTGCTGACCTTTGTCGCAGAAAGTTGGGTGCCCAACTGGCCTCACGTGGACTGCCGGGCACTTCCATAAGCGGCCTCCTCGCGGCGGGCTCAAGACGGAACACAGACATTAAATCGAGTCAGGCGACGGCGAAGGAAAGTGTGACAAAGACATGCTCATTGAACCAGGATCAAGACATCAGTTGATGACGTAGGTCTCTGCGCTAAGCACGGACTGCTGGGAGAAGGTGGTGGCGGCGCTGGTGTCGGCCAGGACGACGTCGGCCACCGACACGCTGGAGAGCGTCTTCTCACAGACAAAGTCGACGACGACGGGGAAGAAGACGTCGACGTTTTCTGCGCCCGAAGTGACCGAAAACTCGAGGCTGCCCGACTTGTTGGCGGAGGAGATGGAGTCGAGGCTCCACTCGAGGTTGTTGGTGTCCTCGTTGACGGCCCACGAGCCCTCGGGGCATTCGACCGAAGGAACGCTTCCCTCGGGCAGTGGGATGGCGATGATGATGCTACGCAGCTCGCCGAGCTGCTCGTTTTCGAGCTCGTACTCGATGCTCACGTCGCAGCCGCCTTCGCCGTTGGGCGAGGGCCAGCAGTTGATGGAGAGCGGCAGGGCGGTCTCGTCCTTGGTGACCATGCGCCAGCGGAGGAGGGCGAGCGACTGGTTGACGGGGAAGGGCTTGCGTGCATCGCGCGGTGCGAGGACGCGATCCGAGGCCCACGCCGCCTTGTCCACCTGCGGGTTGGTCTTGAACTGCAGGTCGCCGGCGGAGAGCACGAGGTTGGCGTCCTCTGGCGGAGCGAGTTGGAGGCGGATCTTGGCGAGGGAGGGGTCGGTGATCTTGAGGAAGAGGTCGCCCTTGATTTCGAGCGAGTCGAGGCCGCCGTCGCGGTTGCCCGAGATGGAGACGCGCTCCTTGATGATGGCGTGGACGGCCTCCTGGTGGACGGGATCGAGAAGGTCGAGCGGGTCGACGGCTGCGGGTGCGGGTGGTGCACGACTCGCCGAGAGGTTGGCGGGGGTGGAGGCGGCGAGGGAGGCGGAAGCGGCGTTGGCGGCAGCAGTGAGCTCTTCGTCTGCGGCGGCGGCGGCAGCGGCGAGGTCGCCGCCCATGGCGCCGAGGAGATCAGCGCCCTTTGACTTTTTGCCGAGTTGCATGCCCTTGCCCTTGAAGGGCTTGGCTGCTGGGGTGGAGGTGGACGAGAAGCCGGTCTGTACGGGGGCCTGTGTGGGTGGGGGCTCGAAGCGCTGCTGGACGGAGCCAAAGCCACCGGAGTTGGCGAAGCCGCCCGAGTTGCCGCCCATCTGACCGCGACGCGCCGCATCCCTGCGCTGCATCTCGAGCTGCTTTGCCCTGCGCTTGAGCTCCTCCTTGGCCTCCATCTCCTTGTTGCGTTCGATGATCTCCTGGATCTTTTCCTCGTGCGATTCCATCTCGAGGATGGACCTGACCTGGGTGAGGTTGACGTTCTCGCGGTAGCCGAGCGAGACGATCTCGTCGAAAGCGCCGAGGAGCTCGAAGCTGTATCTGAGCACGGAGGACTCGTCGAGGGATCTGCAGATGTCGGAGGTGACGCGGGCAAAGAGGTGGAGGGTGTCGATGTCCTGGAGGATATTTGAGTTCTTGTTGGTGATGAGGATCATGTAGAGGTCTTCGAGGGGTTGGTAGACGAAGCGCACGGCGTCTGTCTCGACCGAGGTGTGCTGCGATCCTGCGGAGATGAGTTTGGGGAACGAAGCGAGGAGACCCTCGATCCTTGACCTTGGCATGTCGCGGAACTGGCGGCTGATGACGGGCTTGCCGCCTCGCGTGGAGACGGAAGCAGCGAGGATGACCATGATGGAGGTCTATGCGAGGTTGCTGGTGGGGCGAAGAGTGTCGGCTGGATGTGCTGCCAGGCGAAACGTCGGTTGATGTCGGCGGCCAAGCTGAGCAGCCGTGTCCTGGATGTTGGTGCGGATGCGAGGGCGAGACGAGCAAGAGTGCCACCAGCAACGAGAGGTGGTGGAGTGCGCGCGCAAAGGTCGCCGACGGGAGGAACAAAGCAGCGACGACGTGATGAGGTGACGAGAAGAAAGGTGGCTCAAGCGGCGCGCAGGTCAAGGTGTGTGTGTCTGTGTGTCACTCTGGTCGGTGCGAGAGAGAGCGGACTGGCTGGCTGGCTGGCGCTGGTCTGCGTGTCTCCTCCGACGCGAGCCAGACAGGCCACGGGGGCCCGCCACGCCAGCAGGGCCAAGGCAAAGGCACAACAGCTGGTTCGAGCGCAGCTTCGACCCCAAGCTCCACGTCTGCGCCCAAGCACCGCGTCTCGCACTCACCTGGCGGCCAGCCCCAGCCTGGAATTGATCGATCTCGTGGGATCTTCCTCCCGTGCGGAAGAAGGGATTCGTGTGGAATTTCGGTTTTGGAATTTCGAGGCCACGGCAGCTCCCGGGTCTTTGGGCAGCGTCAGGCCGGTCGCGCTTCGATCAGGGCGCTCTTTCAGGCAGCCCAGCGCAGTGTCGAGCCGGCTGGAGTGCGAAATTGGGAAATTTGGATTTTTCTCAACAGCCCAGGGCAGAGAGAGAGGGCCGATGGCAGCCTCCGGAATGGGTGAGCTAAAGGCTCGTTCATCGTCGCATCACCACCAGCTCGCAGGCTCGGCTTGGCTGGGTTGGGCTGGGCTGGGCTGGGGCTCGTTCGCGCTTCTTCTCGAGATGATTGGAAATCGCAGTCGGTTGCTGATCCAAAGTGGATTCACATTTCGCTCCATCCTCCTCCACTACCACCGTCACCACACCCTATCCATCGTCGTCGCCATGTCCTTCCTCACTGGAGCCATCCGCACCGCCGCCGTCAGCACCTCCGCCCGTGCTGCCCTCCTCGGCCGCACCGCCCCTGTTGCCCTCTCCCAGCAGGGTAAGTAGTCTTTTTCAACCACACGAATCGGCCTTGTCGGGTTCACGCCCCTGCCTATCGACGCGGTGCAGCAATCGTAGCTCGACCATCGCAGTAGAACGAAGCAGCAGAAGTGGCAGTAGCAGAAGCAAAAGCAGAACGACTTGCAGACTCGGACAGTAGCATCGACGACAAAGCCGACACAAGGGATGCATTACGTCGAAGTACTCGTCGCTCGGGACGTTGCAACGCGGCAGCTATCTACAGTTCGACTTTTGCACCATCTCCGTGGATGAGCTCATGCTTCGGCATGTCCAGGCCCCGAAGTGGAGAGTCCATCGTGCCCGGACCTTGTGGAATCGACGCGCTCCGAGCTCACAATCGTCATCCCACGCAGATATCGCGTTAAGACCAGACTCGGTCTGTTGACGCCAACAGACACATACCCGTCAAGCTAAGCTGCTGGTGTTAGTGCTCCCGACCCCCCAATCGACCTGTCGCCATCTCGCCATCACACCACTATTTTGGCCAAGGACAATCGACTTTCATGCGCATGAACAACTTCTACTGCTTTGATTGCTGCTGCTGCCGCTGCTACTGTTTCTCGCCCTACGCCGATTGCGGTCATGCCAGTCTGGCGACCAACAAAGGCAATGCTTTGCGCAGCATCGACGCGTTGCGGGCATGGCGTTGCATGGACACCGACGACGCTCGCAGCAGAGATTTGACATTGTCGCTGTGCACACCCAGCATACTGACTTCTTGCCTCCGTTCGCATCCCATTTCGATACAGTCCGAGGCTACGCCGCGCACCACGAGGAGGAGTCGTTTGACGCCTTCAACTCGCGCTACGTCGGCTTCTTTGACGCGGTCGAGGACCTGTTTGAGCTGCAGCGCGGCCTGAACAACTGCTTTGCGTACGACCTGGTGCCCTCGCCCGAGGTGATCGAGTCGGCACTGCGCGCCAGCCGCCGCGTCAACGACTACTCGACCGCCGTGCGCATCTTCGAGGGTATCAAGCAGAAGGTCGAGAACCAGAACCAATACAAGCAGTACCTCGACGCACTCCAAGGCGTCCGCGAGGAACTCGGCATCAAGCTCAAGGAGGAGATGTACTCGGCATAATTTCTCCATGCTAATGCCCGCTCGCTGTATAAAGCCGCGCTACTAGTCGAGCGCTCAATTCTACCTCCATCTCGAATCCACACGGGTTTGCGAACACACACAAACATGACACATGACAGAAGTATGGCGATGTGGGTTGGGGGCAAAGGCAAAGAGGTGCATCTGACCTGCGAGATCCTGCATTTACGGGTAACACTCGTTGAGGGGGGCGAAAGG